GGGTTGTGCTTGGAATGTGATATACAGCGGAACTCGGACTCGGATTCAACGAAGTCGCCGGGCCTGACCTTAAATTTCTTTGAATCTGAGTGTTCGTTATAGCAAACATGAGTTTTTTTTTGTGAAGATAATTTCAGGCACCGAACAAGTAATGTATTATGTATTCGACTTTCTCAGCGAGAAGTAGTTTGGTTTCAAATGAGAGGCATTTTTGTTTCTTTGATACAATGCCGACACTGTGCAAAAAGGCTGATTCGTTCTATTGCTCGCCTGTGTCATCTATCATCTACTATGACCTACTGTTTGCAGAACAAGTTATGTTGCTGTGTAGAGCCTACCTTGGCAACATTTGATTCCACAGTCCAATTCGCAATTCATTACGTAGATCTATGTCAAGACTAGCTTATCACTGTCGTATTTATCAGAAGCCGAGAAAAAAGAACTGTAACACATTTGTATCTCGACTGATGTTCCACACCCGGACCGCTTGTGCCACTCCCCACATACACACGCACATAGTCACACTTCACACGTGTACTGGCCGCCCGCGGCCCCGACACACGCGAAGGAAATATGTTAACAACATGTGTGTTGGTATGAAAGAAGGTCGCTGATTGGTTGCATAAGTTATAAACTATAAGCTAAGTGAATAATGGTTCACGATGCAGTACCTTGAATGGTTCCAGGAATGGATATGGTTCGTTGCAGGAGAAAAATGAGCGAAGCCACGCCAGCTGGGGTTGTTCACCCTGCAAGCTACTTCGTTGAATCCGAGCTTTCTCATTTATGTGTTCGTTGAATACAAGTTTTTAAAAATTGATCTTTAGGAGCAAAAAATCGGGGAATCCAACTCCTTTTGTTGAATCCGAGTTTTGGTTGAATCCGAGATCGTTAAAACGGAGTTCCACTGTAATGAACTGTGTAATTTGAACAAGCTGATAGAATGCTATTGACTTTCCCGATGTCTGTGAATTGAAGAACCTCTCAGCACAGCGTCTGCTATACTATATAATGCGGCCGTTGGCACTTGAAGCCATTGTTGAAGGAAGTGGCTGTGTTGTGAAAGGTAAAATCTGTGTACAACAACACTGCACACAATGCAAAGTGTCCGAGTCTTTAACTCGTGGGTCAAATTTGATACAAAAAGGGAGGGGTTTATTTGCAGTGTGTACAGAAGCAGCTATTAATCGACCCGGCCCAACCCGACCCGACCTGACCCGACCATGCCCATAAGCACCCAGTGTTACTTGTGATTTACAGTTACTCTTTTTCTGGGGATTGGAAAAGGGTGGCATATCAATGATACTGTATCCCACACTGAGTGAAATAAGCAACAGGTGAAGGTTGGCAATTTGCAACACTTAGGCAGTGATATATACATGTAGGTTACATACTCTTGGCATTCTTTCCCATGTCTCCTTGATTGGGACATTATTTCATGTTTTGTTTTTTCCTATTGTTTTAAGTGGTCAGCGTGTGA